ATATATATATATATATATATATATATATATTGGGTGACGTGCATTTTTCAATTGCCACGGACCTAGCAGGTCCGTGACAGTAAAAAATTCATGTGGAACCGCAATGGATGGCATGCCGTTCGTTGCGGGTCCTTTCAATTAACTGCTACGAACATAACAAGTCTGTGGCAGTGGTGAAACACTGTAGCATTTTACCTATAGGCGTTTTTAAGGTTTTTCCTATATAATAGGCACCTCGATCTTAACTGGAGAAATTGTGGATAGGTTGAAATGTCCCCAGCAGACCACTCTGATATTTTGAACCGTTTAACCTACCTGAACCCTTACATAAACCTAGCATCCACCAACTTGATATTGCCCCGGTGGGATCAAAGACACTGAAAGGTGACACAAAGCATATATACTCAGAATCACCCAACTTAGAACATTTGCAAAAGGGAAGGCTCTGGTCTTGCTCCAACGGCCGCTAAAGCTCTGTTAAGTCCCGAAGAGGCGACTAAGGCACCTTAGTCACAAAGTCAGCGATGAGAACACAAAGATATCTGGGGACATTGCCAATGTCGTCAATGCCATTTTAAATGTCATCAGGCCTCGAGACCTCAAATGGTGGGAAACAATCTGATCGACAAGACTGATAAACATGATGACATGTCAGGTCGTACTGGCAGGCGTGGCAGGACTGTGCTGTCATGTCAAATGTCAAGATGGATTATGGTTGTCTAGTTTCGGTTGGTCAATGATCAAAAGACCGCACAACCAAGGTGGCATGCTAGCTAACATTTGACGACATTGCAACTATCTCCGGCGTGTCCATCAGATAGAGATCATACTCAGGAGAAGGTGACACATGTCCAAACAGAGGTTTAAAGGCAGTTGGAAAGTCGCTAGCACCATTGCCAATAGCGCCAGATACTGATAAGAATGTAGCAACTGCATTAAAGAGTAACTAATATTTGTAATACCTCATTAATGATAGTGGCGATAGTCTAAAGGCCTTCAACACCTTTCCGAATGTCACCACAATTTTGATGGTATGAATTTTAACACAAAACTGACTTAGGAACTATGATGAGTCTGCTCTGCCTATTTATACCCCTCTGAACCTCAAAACAAAAGTGTAGACACATCGATCTTGACTGGAAAGGTCATGGATAGGTTGAAATGTCCCAGGCAGATCACCCGAATATTTTAAACCATTCACCCCACCAGAACCCCTTCTCTGTAAACCTAGCCTCCAATGAACTCTTATTGCTCCAGTGGGACCAAAGGCATCAAGAAGAGAAACAAGGTGAGATAGACCAGGAAGCATTCATAAGGAAAGGCTTTGATGTTACCTCAACAGGCATCAAAGCCTTACCAAAATTCTAACGGCGAGGTACTAAG